CCACTGGTTTCTAGCTTCTTTTTTTCGATTTAGAGCATCTTCGCACATATCGTTGAACCATGGTTTTCTTACAGCTTTTACTTTTCCGATTTCTGACTCTGTCACTACCTTTATAGTATCTTTAATTTTCTTCCATTTTGCATCAATTGAGTCATTTATACCTGTATCTATCATTCTAATTTTTTCCAACATCAGATACTTAAATCTTTCACATGTATTCACATTGTTTAGTTTAGCTGTGTCATATTTGTCTACCACTGTTCCTTTTTTCCGAGTAACCTTTTTTATTTTTATTTTCATTTTTCCTTTAACCAGATAGTGATCCGAATCACCATCGGCTCCTTTCATCGTTCTTATGTCTTGAATACAGTTTTTGAATCTTGTGCTCACTAGGATATGGTCGATTTGATTGATATACCTTCCATCAGGTGACATCGTGTTCCCTTATAAATATTTTTTTGAGGAAATATTGTACTTTTCACTACAAGACCATTTCCACGTGCAAAATCGATAAGTCTTAATCCATTATCATTTGTAGTTTCATGCAGGCTGTGATTACCAAATATTGGTCTGAATACAGCATCTTTACCAATTTTTGCGTTTAGGTCACCTAAGACTATTAATTTAATTTTAATTAAATTTAATTAATTAATTTATTTTAATTTTAATTTTAAGACTATTAATTTAATTTAATTTAATTTTTAAATAATTTATATCTCTGTATCTTTTACAAAAAAGTTTATAAATTTCAATATAATATTCAAATTAATCATTACTCAATCAAACGTTTCATTAATGTATTAGATATTATGAAATGCATCGATTTTATTTTATAAACTTCAAATGAAATCTTGTCGTTTCAAATAAAAATTATGATCCAATTCAACACTGTTTATTTGCATATTTTTTCACTTTACAACATTGGTTTCCGTAGTAGTTAACTCATTGTACATGTTAATATATGTAATTATGACCAAAGTTATAAATCATAAATATTTTGGAAATCTTTAGTACAAATACTTTTTTTTTTATTTCTATTTTTAATAAAGTATATGTTTCATGTTACATGTTTACTGTATTTTTTTTTATAAATTGTTTACTTATATTTTAATAATTAATATTACAATTAACTAATATTACAGGGATGCGGTCGACAAAAAAATATTAGCATTGGGCCACAATAATTTAAACACATCTTTGGTTGTTGTCGATTCCATATCGATTTTTATTTAGTTAAATGCAAACGATTACAACGACGTCTGATAGCTGCATCCACGTAACCGTTATCATTTTTGAAATGGGTTGTACGTGTGCATACATATACATATACATATACTTATATAAATTGTAAATTCGACGATATTTTAATATGTGTGATGTGCCCCGTCTCATTTTACAGTCTATGTGCAGTCGGATTTTTTATTTGCTTAACATTTTCCTATCGCAGAATAACACACGCACACGCACACACACACACACACACACACACACACACACACAGGTTTCACGCGCGGCCTTCGGCGTGTAGGCATTTTATCACCATGTGATTGATACGAACCGCAGCGATGTATTGTTGACACGTGTTTATAATGTACACACGGTGCACCTGTAAAATCATACGTTAAGCAATACCGTTGTTGCGGCGCATCGTGCCGACATAAAATGTTTTTACTTGATTTTTTTTTTTACTTGTTTTTATTAAAAGGAGATTGCACGCAATACATGCTACATGCAAAATAAGCGAACGTGGTCAAATTGAACCGACGAATAACAAGAAAATCATTGGGAAAGAAGGCCGTCCAACCCTCTAGTTGTGACTTGTATAATATATATGTATATATTTATGTACTCGAAAAGATTAGCGACAAAGAATTTTTAGTTAATTTATATTAATAATGGACATATCCTAGTTTAACAAATCCGAATTATTCGGATTTAATTATTAATCCCGATTATTCAATTCAATTTTGATTTTCAATGATTCGTCTTTATTTTCACACACATTTGATTAAGGTTATATAATAAAGTTAAGTTATTTAGGTATTCAGTCTGTAAGCAGTGGTGGTCAAATAGTTTTGTCTAAATGGGGAGGAGTTAAGGCTAATTTTTCAACATACACTTTGATCCTTAAAAAAGTAAGTCGTAATTTATGGATATAAGATCACTTTAATAAATAATTGTACTAATTTTAGTAGTACAAACTGTAAAAATATGTTTATATATACGTTTAGAGCTGTTGTTGTTTATAACAGCAAAGTAGTTCGTTATTTTAGATTTAGATATTATGAATACTCAATGTCTTATTATCACAAATAACGAAAAGAAAAGCAAAACACTAATTGTTTATAACGTTAACCGATGAACTGAAAATTGAAATTATAAAATATTACATAATATTCTGTGAATATAATAGTCAGTACTCTGTACACACTAAACATTAAAAATTGATAAGAATTCTAGATATTATTATTATGTCTGTACCAACAGCAGGTTTTGGTTACTGGTGATTCCATTAATAAAAGGTATTATAATATATTTTCCAAGTAAAAAACACGATAGTGAAATAGCTGCAGCTGTAAGTTGACAGCATAGAGAATTACAGTAATACGTTTTACAGTTAATTGTTTTTATTATCACAAAAAAATTTATATCAAAACTTTTGATTAGCTTTTTGAGATTATTGTAAACAAAAATTATCTATATATAAAATATTATTAAAAATAATACAAAATAACAAACAGGTTATGGGAGAGGGAAATATATCCTTCTTATCTTCCTTCGTTTGACCGTCACTGACTGCTGACTGTATTAGAGGTATAAAATAAACTCAATAAGTTAATAACTTGTTTTGGTAACTAACAATAAATTATAAAACTATTAAAGTCAAGACAAGTATACTGTAATTCAGAATACAATATTAATTTGTAATTAAATTATAGGTACGATAAAATAAAATAATTTATATTGCTAAAAATTAAAAATAATTATAATTCACGTAAAAAGCAAATCTATAAATCCGGATAATTCAGTAAATTCTGAAAAGAACTTAATTCAAATCCGGATTTGAATATCTAAATATTCAAAAAATTCTGATCTTCGGATTTCATGCTAATCTCTAATTTATATTATAAAAGGTCTCGGCATTGTATCAAATTTAGTCGACGGATTGGAGTAATAGAGACGAAATACGAAACTAAAGTATTCGGATACCAATCTTATCCTTGTAACTTATTGTAGAAGTTATTGTTATGTTTTTTTTTTTTTTTTTGTTAATCGGTTAATGTTCTTTATTTGTATGTCCTAATAAAGGGATTAATTGTTATGTAGCCAAGGATAATTATACAATGTTTACGTATACGTGGATAGGATGTATCTCGTGATTGCCTCAGTTTTTATCGAAAATGTCAAATCTTCACTATACGCGCTCCTTACATTGCACATAATAATAAACTAATGCCATGCAGTATGTCCAATTGTGATGAAGTAATTCATCAATGTTGGTGTCTGGTTTAAATAATAGCTTATTCGTTTCATTAATTGTTTAAGATAAGAAATGTAATGTAGTTATTGCAATTAATGGTTTTACAGTTAAAACTACGTTTTGGATATTAAAAGTAATTTTACTCTATTTCATATTATTGTTATTAAATTTCAAATAATTTCATTCATCCCTCACTCATCAGTAGAGTACGAATTTTGAAGGTATTTGCTTTTTTTTTTCTATTACTCTAAAACGAATCTATTCAAATTCGATTAATACTACTTAAAACAAAATTCACGACATGATAATTTTGCTTTTTTTTTGCTTTTAAGTTACATTATTTCAAAATGTGTTTTGAATAAACGTATGTATTTAAAATGTTAATATTTATTCTTATATAATGTGTTTCAAATCTTGTTCAATCATTTTTTAACAACCTTTTACCGTGTGTTTAGTTTGTCACGGATCGTATGGTACATAATAAATTAATTACCTTGAAACGACAATAAACACAGAAATATGCTTTTGCTCTGGAAATTGTCTATTCAGAATTCCAGTTTAATTTTCGTTGTAGCACTATATAGTTATTTACAAAGTGTCGAAAATAATTAATTTTTTTATTAAAAATCCATTTTTAATGCTTTTTTTCAGCTTTTTTTGAAGATTTATACAGCTTAATTGCACTTTTTTTTATTGCTTTTTTTTAGTTTTATTGCCTTGAAATTTGTACTCTACTTATCAGTTTCTGAAAATTACGAAGAATCCGCGATTTCATGAGTTATGTATAGTTTATTATTATTATTATTGACTTATTTCAGACTCTTTAAACCCATAATTATAAACAGAAAAATAAATATTTTTTCCCCTAAATTAAAAGTGAATTTTTATTAAAATTAAAATTAAATTTTAAAAATTAAAATTAATAAAATTTATGTCAATACATTAACTAAAGTTGTATTGCGATTCATTGTCATTTACTAACTCTTAGTATAAACTATATATGCTATTTATAATATAACTTTTAAATACATTTTTTTTTTTTACGCTGTTTACAATTCTTGTATATTGATATTTATATTGATCTGATTGAAATCGAAAGCATTTTTAATTTCAAAATAAATGACCGAAATCGAATGGCGTACGACAGATCATGAAACATCAGTATTTACTATGATACAAAATCGATCTGAATGTAAATACAATGGAACGTCGATTATCCGCACTAATTGGGATCAAAGGAGGTGCGAATAATCGATTTGTGCGGATAATCAAACAACAATTGAAAATTTTAATATACAATTAAAAAACTAATTTATTAGATATAATACTAAATAAAATATTCATACATAATAAAAAAATATAATAAAAAAATAAAATAAAAATATAATGTATTTATTTGAAATAATAATCAATTTTTTTTGCACTTCCAATGAACTACCTACTTTTTTTTGCCGCCAAGTCCTTTATTTTTTTATAATAATAAAATTTCGGTTGTATTACACTCTAGTTGTTATTCATATCAATGCATTGCTGACTCCATTGCTGTAAAGGCTTCAATAAGCGTAAGACCCGTATAGTTTTTGACGTCTTCATACTCATTTTCAATTTCAGAAGGCAGTTCTGATTCTTTTACTGCTTCAACAATTTCATCGTCATTTAATATCTCAAATCCTAAATCATTTGCATTATTTTCTAGCTAATATTTCACATCAATTTCGTTATTTACTTTAAGTCCAGGAATTTAATTTAGTAAATTTGTGATTTCAGTTATCTCTTGTATCTCTTGATTTTCTTGAATTACTTCTGTAATTAGCCATAATTTATTCCATGCAATTTTTTTATTTTTTATTTTAAATGATTGCCAAGATTCAGTTAACATATAATATGAATCTTTTAAATTTAAATTTCGATAACAATTTATGACATTTTCTTCACTATCCGTCAGTAGCAAACGTCGTAATATTTGTTTTTTATAATTCCGTTTAAGCTTTTCAATTACCCTTTAATTCATAGGTTGAATTATTGCAATAGTATTGGCATGAAAAAACATAACCTTAAAATTTGGGTCTACTATATTTAATTTTTCCGCAGAAGGATGAGATGGTGCATTATCTAACAAAAGCAGTACTTTTCCTTTTCTACCTTTATATTCTTGTTCTTGTTTGACTTTAGGTATAAATTCATTACAGTACCATTCATAAAATAATTTGGAGTTCATCCATGCACTTTTTTGTGCCTTATATTTCACTGGAAGTTGATTAACATTTTTAAAACACCGTGGTTTAATAGCTGTTCCAATCACTAATAGTGGTAAAGCATGATCTCCACTAGCATTTGCGCAAACCATCGCAGTTATCCTATCTTTACTAACTTTATAACTAGGTGTTGATGATTCTTGACGTGATGCTTTCCAGTTTATACCTGTTTCATCAGCGTTGTAAACGTCATTTTTTGTGTATCCTTCTCGCTTTATCATATTCAAAAATATTTCTTTAAATTTTTTCTGCAGATTTAGAATTACATGATAATATTTCTCCCTCAATATTAAGTTCTCTTATACCATGTCGCGATTTAAATTTTTTTAACCAGCTTGAACTAATTTTAAAATCAGATGTACCACCCATATTGCTATTGAATATTAATGCTTGTTCATACAATATAGGCCCCGATATGAAATTACCTAAATTTCTTTTTTGTACAAATGAAAAGAGCTTTGCCTAACTTAATATTTGTCGCACTTTTCATTACTTTCCTAGTTTTTTTGCCATCAGTCGAATCCATATTTGATGCATTTGATAAAATATTTTCTTTTTTACGTTTTATATCACCAATAGTAGACTTATTTACGTTATAAAATTGAGCTAAAGAAGATCCACTTTCTCCTTTTTCAAGTTTTTCTATTATTTCGATTTTTGTTTCAATATTTAACATCTATTGTTTCCTTTTGGAACCCATTTCGTTAACGCATTTACGAACCAACTAAATTTAAGATTACAATGTATAAACATATTATCTACATTAGAGTAAGTTGTAGTACATAATAAAATAATCTCGCATTTCATAATAGAACATTACATACATATATATATATTTATATATAATATAACATTATAGTACACGATAAAACATAACGAATGATAAAACTAAATTAAATCAAACTAAAAATAAATTTGTACTCAAACACTTTGTAGAGCGGATAATCGGCGCTCCACTGTATTCCAAAATGTACGTTTGGACTGTCTCTCCGGTAGAATTGCAGCCATACCGCGGTTAATAAGGCCATAGCGTAAAAATGTATAATTCTTGTGGGCGGACCTGCGGAAGTGACCCGTGCAGTCGTTGTACACGACACAATTTATTGCGTGCGCTTCCTCACGTACACCATATTTTCAAGACAATCTTTTTAGGTCAACACAGTTATGCATGGTGCGGCTTGTATACATCGGATTTCTCCAGGGGAATCATCCGTTGCCGGGATGCCGAAGAAATCTCGAGGGCGAATTCGTACGTTCCCGACCGCGTTCGAACCGTGGCACGATGAAAAACAGAACAAATTTCTCGTTATTTTTTACAACGCTGCAACAGCGAAGATTGAAATCAGGACGTCGATGTACGTTTTACGTTCGGAATCTCTCGCTGCAGACCATATTGTATACGTACGGACGGTGTAAAACATTCGAATAACTTTGGAAAAACAACAGATATACGAGTAGTATTTTTAAAAATAGTTGCATGGGTGCCTACTACTGCGTCGTTACAACACGGTCTTCTGCCGACAGGATAGTGACGGTATGAATTACAATTTGAAACCGTTGACATTGAACGTAATCTTATTGATCGTCTATACTTTGGACATCCGAAAAAATGACGCAATGATGTTTTATGCATACTTTTCTGAATAATTCAATGTAAAAAAATACACTTATTATGTGATCGGCAATAATTGATCAAAATACGATTGTGTATCTGGTATAGTTGAATTGTTAAGGATCAACGGTAGACAAACTATGCACGCGAACATTAAAATTCCCCTTGTACAAGTGTTATCATCGTACGTTCGGCTTTATCCGCCGAAACGTTCGTAATGTTCCGCACCGGATAATTATTACACAAATCAAACGGTAGTGAAAGCGGAACTTTTTTCGTTTTCAACTCGTTACCAAATATGACTCAAAATCGTTCCCGTCGTTAACCCGTTCTTAAGAAAATTACTAATAAAATTAGGTTCACTAGACTAATAATTACAATCGGTATTTACATATTTTACGTGAATCGCATATGTCGTCAACGCGATAAAAGGTCGTAAAAAAAATTTAACACCGCTCCATAAAACACCATGAAATTCTTTCTGTGGCTGTGACCGAGAAGACGATAATTTTAAAAAATCATCTACCGGGTACGAAATCGACCATTTGCGTATTGGCAGGGTGTACTTAAGGGAGGAGCGAATGAGATAGTCATCCCTCGCATGGCTTTTTTTCTTCAAATTTGTATTATTCATTATTTAATATTAGGAAAATATCATAAAACATAAATGCACGTATAAAGTGACTACCTTCGTCCTTATTAAAGGGTCTAGGGACACCACGTGTGTGTGTGTATGTTGATCACGAGCGAGCGTATATATGTATATGTTAAACGTGAGATGGTTATACTATACCGTATACCGCGGTACAGTCGCGATCATACGAGTGTAGGTCCGCTAAGGGCCAGCTGGGGAACGGGTTAAACTAGGCCGTGTCAATAAACGAGAAAATCATACTCGCACGTACGGATGTATTTTCACGTCCACCCCGGTGCGCGAATTCTACGAACAGTTGGCTCGGTCGCTTATAAATAATAATGATAATAATATCGTACGATCTCCGTAACCAGTTCGGACCCGGATCCCACGTAGCGGAGAAAAAAACACTGCGGACTCCAAGTGATGCCATACACACACACACACACACATACACACACGCAAAAACATACGCTAACAGACGCGCGTGGAAGCGCCATCCGCGAGGAGACCTACTTCGGAGCTCGTAGCATCGCACTACAACGTGCATTCACTCAATCGCAAGTCCGCGCCCACGTACACCTATTTATATGCACATAAATATACGTATTACACTAGATGCAGGTATTTTATACAGGGTGCTCCACGAGCAACACGTTTGAAAAATGCAATAACTTTTATCCGACAATTTAACAGCCGTAATCTTATTTATTTTAATTTTTTATACATGAAATTTAAACGCTGCGCTATTAAATCGTTTAGTTTTACTTTATGTTTAAAATTAAATCCTGTTGTGTTCAGAAAACAAAATAGCCGTATCGACACGATAACGTGTAAACGCTTATAAAAGTTTAGTTCAATATGATTTTCCGAACTTATCGATGATTCGAATTCAATCAGTGTTTTTCAATTCAATTCTATTTGTATCGGTTATCTAACCAAAGAATACATAGAAAACTATTTAATGTTCGTAAATTTAAAAAAAAATCGTAGAAAATCGACGAATATATTAACCTCTATTAAGATTGTAAGGATTAACATTTGGTAATAAAATAACAATTAATAAATAAATAAAAATTAAACATTTAATTCAGTTTTTTACAAAACGTTTGTTTTTGTTTTTGTCTATTCTAAGCGTTGGAGTAGAATGCTATTCTTTCCACGAGCAAGGTGAAAAATAAAAAAATTTAAAAAAAAATAATAAGCCAACATAAATACGATTATAACGCTGCAGTGTTTCGTCGTTTGAAAAAAAAAAATTATTTCCAACAAAGGTCATCACGTTGACATACTTTAGATACCGCATGGTACTCTAGGTAACACAGGGTGAAATGGGCTCACCCTCTAGCCAATTCACGTTTATTTTCCGTTCGTTTTAAAACGATCCGATAGTCTGCTTTCGTCGCACTAAACATCATATGGAATATGACACAGCATACCGGCACATAAACAAACAAATCTAATAAAAATAAATATCGTTACACTTGCGCGTAAACGCGACCGCAGTATACGCTTTTGTGCGCGCGCACATGTACAATTATTATACGTTATCTATGCGGACGTTTGTACACCCGAAAAACTGTATGCGCTTTCTCGAAGCACAAACGCGCGCTAACGGTCTGTAGCACGTGAACCCAGAAGCGGAACTAGGGGGTGGAAAACGGGGATTTCTTCCCGAACTTAAATTTTAGTGGGTGTAATTTTTGTAATTGTTAACAATTAATTTGATTTCTTTAATTTGTTAATCATTGATATTAAGTTAAAACTCAATAAGTATGATTGTATATTAATTTATAGAACACAATTCTCGAGAAGAGTATTTGATTGTTGGTCTACGATAGGGCGTAATCTTAACATTTTCTCTGGGCGTAAAAATTCCTAGTTCCACCTCTGCGAGAACCGCGAGCCCAGCTACAGTATGCAAAATATTGGCCGCCGGATGCGTTCACGTAAAGTAATCTGCGTGCGGTACACGGTCGATTGTTTTACGTGTAAAACACGTACACTATTGTTGTGCATTTTAAAAGGGTCCAGTACGGAAATCACGGCGGTTTCCGACCCTACGAGTCCTTTTACCCGTACGAGAGCTCAAGGGTCTGGCGACGACGTGGACATCTCACGGAGTACACGAATGCACAGTTAAACAATAATATTGATTGTCATTCGGTACAGTGAAACGCGCAAAAAACACGTACTCTGCAGTCGGACAATGTACGTAGCGCGTTTCCGCGCGAACATAATTGCTATTGCACTGCTGCAGTTCTTTCTGCAGACATATGAACTCTGTGATAACAACAAAAATAAATAATAAATATTATTGTACAGCTTGTACGCGTTTTAAATGAAATACAAGTACTCTTCAATTTCGCTTTCCTTATTATCACTGCGTTGGTGCTATCAAGGCTAGATTAAGCACCCATTAGGCCCCGGAGCTGTAATTTTATATGGAACCTTTTGACAAAACATGCTTTACAAAGCTGCTCGCTACGCTCACAGAACGACACATTTTTTTTAACTATTTCACAAATTGTTGATTACATTATAAAATTATAAAATTAATAGGTATATACAATTTATGTCTATAAAACTAATAATTTTAGTATGATAAAAAATGTGTATCGGCTTAAAATTGTTTGGGCCCCTTTCAGTTGGGTACTCAAGAGAGCTCCGAGGCTACCTACCTGGCTATACCTCCCTTAATCCGGCCTTGGGTGCAATCAATTCGAAAATATTTTCCCGTGCAATTTTCATGCTTGTTCGATTATTTAATGTGTGGACTACTTCACGCGTGAGTACATTATTACGTATACGTAAGGAGGCGCGTACTGGGTCCATTTTCCCTACCGGGAAACTGAATATAATTAGGGCTCACTTAATATAAATACCAATAGAAATGAGTCTCATGTATACCATTCTATAAAAATAACCAGGTTGTCTACCCATTTTTTACAAAAAACTATAAAATACACCATAAACCTAAATAATAAACCAAATCTACGTTTTGATTTAAGTTCTATGAAAATAAAAAGATATACATAACAATAGTAAAATAATTATTTTTATATAAGTGATCTTGAATAAATTGTAAATTAATTATTCGAAAAAATTTTAAAACGTCGCATTTATTACATAATGCACCAATTATATAATTCAAAGTTCGGAATGTAAAATTCCGGACATAAGCATTGGGCAGCGGGCATTCAGGCATCGGTCAGTCGTCGATTGTACGGTAAAAAAAAGTTAATCGGTATAAAATTGAATGGTATTATTTGAAATATGTTCATTTTTATATGTTTTTTGTGTAAATAATTATACAGTACCTTTTCTTCATTTATAGAATATGTATATTTAAAATTTAAAATGTACATACGATAATACTAAGTGTTGATTATTCCTCGTTTCACTTCCCATAAAAAAAAATTACCTTTTT